TCATGTATAAATTGTGTCTATATTTGATCGTACAATCAAACGTTTGCATACCAGAATCTATGCACAGATATCATAGTTGCAAGTCTATGTGCGCTGGTCTCTTTATTTAGTACCACCCACCAAATCTTGAATTGGGTCTATAGACTTGAACCTGCTAAAGCCGATTTTTAGGAACGAATTTCCCAGACAAAACCTCGTACATAAACGGAAACATATTGGTGCTCCGAAAGCTCATAGACAGTACCTTGGAAGATACTATCAGATACGTACATATATATATATATATATTCATACAGATAACTTTGTACATACGAACAAGCTACAAGTGTCCACACAAGAAAAGAACACACACACACCTCAAACATAACATCCAGATACAACTCCAGCCACATTCGATCGGCCGGTGCCAAGTGTTGAGTGTCTAGGAACACGCGCATGTCCACAAACTTGCTGGGCACATGCTCTATCTCCATTGTACTATACGGCAGCGAAGCGGTGCTTATTCCCTGTGTGACATGAGCCGCCACACTCTCCGGTTCTGTGTCCGTGTGGTGCGTGTCGACACTGACCACTTTGATGGTGTGGATCTTGCTTGCGTCTGGGATCCTGTCACAAGAGTGTGCGGGAGATGTAAGTAGTGGGACACTGGGGGGGGTATGTTGGCGAAAGACTGAGTAGTACAGAGTAACAGGTACGTTGTGCACACCCACACAAACGAAAACAATGTACCGCACTTCACGCCTTACTTGAACGACGCAATGAGGTCTGCGGGTGCCTCCACATCGTTAGCCTGCACGGCTAGGTCTAGCTTAGTCTCAAGGTCCTTGAGGGCCTGTGGACCGAGTTCTTGTACCTGTAGTCGGATGCGCTCCTCTTCTTCTTCGCGCAGCCTCTTGCCTGCGTTTACGGAGGGGTGGCCTTGTACGCACACGTACGGGGTGTCTATGTAGTATCTGCGGTGGAGTGGTGTGGTCGAGATATGATGGGGAGGTTGAGGTAGGCTGAGTCATACGATGTTTAGTACACGGTCATGCTTTTTATTTGTAAGCTAAGTCATACTATTTTTGGTAAGGTAAGTCATGCTGTTTTTGGTAAACTAACTCGCACTATTTTTAGTATATTAACTCAAACTAACGCAGTATGTGATTGAACATACGTATATATCTATTTATA